ATGAAATCACATGAATACTTAAATGATCGTTTGGTGGAAAATGTGGAAACCGGGAAAGAAAACACAAAAACAGCGAGCCTGTTACTCAAGGCAACACGAAAGAATCCCAAACAGGTACCCACTCCCTGTCCTCCATAGTGCCATATAATGCCATATAGTTCTAGTTCCACCACCCATGGCGTGCTTGGTGCAACACGGAAACTACTTCCTAGAAAGCTGAAAAATCTCATGAAGTTGTTGGTTCCAACGAGAAACCTACATATCTAATGCTCCATAGGAACAGGTTTGTACTTTCGTGGTTCTTCGCTGATTTGTTCTTATTGTTCAGGAGCCAAGAGACAACATCCGCTGAGTTTTCAAGAGCATTTTCCCCCTGCTGTTCAATGTTCAACGCTGCAACCCTGATTTGCTTTGAAAAATATGGTCTTTCAATGTGAATTTTATCTATATCCCGGCTGCGTGGAGCTGCTCATTTTCTCACGAAGCGATGCTGACGTAAACGGCCAGGCCTCAGCAAACCATGGATGAGAATCGAAGGCAAGCACTGCAATCCGCAGCACATGGACAGAAGTCTTTGTATCTTTGACAGGAACCTATCTCAATTGTCACGGAGTCAGTATCTTTTGTCCACAAAAAAGATAGCAAATGTCAGTGGCAAAAAAAGGCAAACTAAGCTGAAACCCATCATGAATCATTGGATAAATATGGATAAATACAAATGAATATATAGTGACAGTGAATATAGTGGATTAAAGTATAAATTATGCCATCATGGCATGGCATTTAAATTCACACAACTGTTCAAAAATCCATGGTATGTCCATTCTTTTGAAGTGTTTCGGCCTCAGCTTTATTCTCAACCGCAAACTTGGAATCCATGCTTCGTTGCGTCACCAAAGGTATTTGAAACATGTCCATGACAACATCTTACAACCACCTCAGTATTCCACTTCCTTAGCCGAGCACGGAAACTGCAGTCAAGTCACGCGGGGAAATGTCCCAGCAGGCCTCCGAGGTTGTGAGAACTGCAGTCACTGCAGTCGCTCCTCGGCCCTGAAGGAGTTTGGTGTCGGATCCCTGGCTTATGCAGGTTGGGTGAGTCGAGGGATCAGAAATATTCAGAAATAAGATTTGGGGGATCAGAAATGACATGACGCTGCCATCTCTTGGAGTTGCTGTGAGATAGACTTGCATCACACGCGACGCATGTCACCTGTTTTGTGATGAGTTTGGGCAAATGCTCTTTGGCATTAACCTTTTAGAAACAAGTCATGCGCGCCTGTAGTTTTTGGACTCAAACAGACTGCAAACATCAGGACCGAAGTGGCACCAGTCATTGTGTATGCCTGCCCACATGACCTTCTGCACAACATGCACATCCAAGGAAAGCAACATCGATGAATCGTGGTGAAGAGATGTTGCAGCCAATGGCAACCAACGCCTCCTTTCGAAGCATTGCCAGCTGGCTTTCTGACAACATTGCGTCAGTTTCCTGAAGAGATGTTGCAGCCAATGGCAACCAACGCCTCCTTTCGAAGCATTGCCAGCTGGCTTTCTGACAACATTGCGTCAGTTTCCCGCAACAGCTTCCTTTGCCATGCCAGTTTCTGACTTCAGGTAAAACAACGCGCTCTTTGATTTGCCCAACTACTTTCCAAGCCAGTGACGCTCGATCCTTGCGTTCTCCTGTACAAAGTGCCAGTAGCACGGCTGTTGAAGCACTCCAGGCACAGATTCCAATGTTTCCAATGTTTCCAATGATTCCAAAAATCATGTGCGCAAAACAGGGGGCAAAACAGTCGGAGTGAAGGATCAAAATCTGCCTCCATTCTCATCGTAGTCGGAAGCATCAACCACGTGTGCTCAACATTGCAAGAGAGACACTGCTGCCACTTTTTTCGGACCAATCTCAGGACTGACTAATGACTCATCTCTTCAACTGGAAGGAATGGCTGTCATTTGTCTCTGTTTTTCGCTTCCAAGTCAGTTCCCATGAACGCAACATCCCTACCCCTATAGAGGGGGAGGGCGGGGGGGACAAAATCAACCTGTCGAATTCCACTTTTTTTTGCTTGGAACCCCTGGGATAGTGATCCAACCCCTCGAATGGAATTGTAAAGTAACATTTATTAACAAGCCTTGGGCACTGGTTTGAAAATACTTGCGCTTAGCTCCTCCGGAGGAGCTAAACGCAAGTATGATCACGGCAGCGCAAATTTTTGGAGGGATGCCATCCCTACACATGTGCTGCTTCAGTCTGACATGTGCTTAGCTCCTCCGGAGCTAAGCGCAAGTATTTAATTTTCACCTGCTTGCCACTGACATGGAATGATGAGGAATATTGATCATTGAGAAAACATGATTGCAAAAATGGAATTCTAAAATGAAATTTCAGTACGACTCCCCCCCCTCCAATTCCATTTTTAAGAGGGTAGGGATAACGCAACTGTAAAAACAATACCGTTGAAAACCTCCGGAAATCTGCAGCCATGGACTGATCAGGGGTCATGCGACCTTCCAATCTAATATCTCTCTGATGCTTGCCAAAAATCATGTGCGCAAAACAGGGGGCAAAACAGTCGGAGTGAAGGATAAAAATCTGCCTCCATTCTCATCATTGTCGGAAGCATCAACCACGTGCGCTCAAAATTGCAAGTGAGACACTGCTGCCACTGGTTTCGGGTTTCGGACTAATCTCAGGACTGACTCATATCGTTAAGTACATTATATAGTTATACTATGTTATATTGGTATATCAACTACTCTTCCACCGGCACAATTTCTACCAGGCTTCAAGATGTGGAAAGTGCATTAACTAGTCGGGTCAAACTCAACAAGCACATTTCTCAGGCTCAAGGAATCCATTGCAACACTTTGATATGTTTGTATTGGACGAGGTTTCATCACTTCAGCCAAGAGAAAATGTTGGCGGGATAGACAATCGCCCGTTATGTATTGTTGCGCTATTGGGGAAATAGTCGAATTCATCATTGCACCTGTTACTCCACATTTTTGGGGGGGTTGCACAACATTCGCTGCCTTGCCTCCGCTGCTGAAGCTGTCTCAAGCATGGACACAATGACCACTTGCCATGCCAGCTTTTGCCTTCAGTAAAGACAGACTTTGGCCAAATTCTCTGGCATGCTTGACTTGGGCTCTCATGAGATACACCCAAGTACTTTCCAAACATATGAGGCTCGACCCCTTTGCTTCTGCTACACCAAGTGCCAACTGCAGGGCTGCTGATGCACTAGCAGTGGGGTTGTCAACATTTCTCTGTCTTTCTCCACTTCCAAGTCAGGTCACATGCAGGCTGCATCGAGGCGTCCATCTGCATCTTTTATCCACCTAGTGTCTTACAGATTCTTTGACGCCGCTCTGCACACCATCAAGCTCTGAGATACGTGTTGACTGGATAGATTTCCGGTGAAAACGAGATTGATGTCCGATGATATGGACTCTACCTGTTGGTCTACTTACTGTTGTGTATGCCTGCCCACATGACCTTCTGCACAACATGCACATCCAAGGAAAGCAACATCGATGAATCGTGGTGAAGAAGAGATGTTGCAGCCAATGGCGACCAACGCCTCCTTTCGAAGCATTGCCAGCTGGCTTTCTGACAACATTGCGTCAGTTTCCCGCAACAGCTTCCTTTGCCATGCCAGTGTCTGACTTCAGGTAAAACAACGCGCTCTTTGATTTGCCCAACTACTTTCCAAGCCAGTGAGGCTCGATCCCTGCGTTCTCCTGTACAAAGTGCCAGTTGAACGGCTGTTGAAGCACTCCAGGCACAGTTTTCGGTTGTTTGAAAGCGTCCTGCACGCTCTCCAGTCACTGTGTATGCCTGCCCACATGACCTTTGCACAACATGCACATCCAAGGAAAGCAACATCGATCAATCGTGGTGAAGAGATGTTGCAGCCAATGGCAACCAACGCCTCCTTTCGAAGCATTGCCAGCTGGCTTTCTGACAACATCGCGTCAGTTTCCCGCAACAGCTTCCTTTGCCATGCCAGTTTCTGACTTCAGGTAAAAGAACGCGCTCTTTGATTTGCCCAACTACTTTCCAAGCCCGTGAGGCTCGATCCCTGCGTTCTCCGTTAAATTTATAATAAATTAATTTATATTAATTCCTAAATTTTCAACCAAAATAATTAACCCAAAATAAAATTACTTACAAAATTTATAAACATCTATTTTAATATATTTTAATTAAAATAATTATCAACATTTTTTTTTTTTAATACCCTATTTATTTTTTTTTAATATATAAAAAATAAAAAATTAAAATTATTACCCACCAATTAGCCTCTATAAAATAAGTTGTCTTAATATATCCTATCAATATAATAAAATATAACATTTAATTATAAAATTACAAAAAACATATTTTTTATAAAATTATTAATTATAAAATCAAGAAAAATTAATTTATAATTATAATCCAAAAATTAAAAAATATATATAAATTAAAATATAATTAAATTAGATAATTAAAATATTTAGATAAATATATAAATAAATATATATATATATATAAATATATAAATATAATTATATAATAAATAAAAAAATATATAAATAAATATATAAAATAATAATAAAAAATAAATAAATTATTATTTTTAATTTAATATATATATAATTATTAATTATAAAATATATTAATATAAATCTAATAATTATAGCAACAAATATGATCTAAAGCACAATTTTTAGCACGAAGGAAAGCACCAAAAAGCACAATTTCAAGCACGATTTTTGGCACGAGGGAAAGCACCAAAAAGCACGATCTAGAACACGGTTTTTGTGCACGAGGGAAAGCACCAAAAAGCATAATTGTTACAGCTATTAGGACGGACTCCAAAAAAAATATATATATATATTTATAATATTAATAATTTAATTGTTTCAAATATATAAAAATATATTCATATAAATAAAAATAATTTGAAAATATTGAATTATAAATTTAACATTATATATATATCTATCTATTTTTCAGGGATATTGATTATTGGAGCCAAATCCTCCTTGCATATATCAGAATATGTCAGAATATTTTGGAGTACATATGGAGTCCCATGACAAGCGACAGCAACATGTCTCCTTGAAGTAGTGGCGGCGAGAAGCTGCCTGCAACGCAATGAAAACAACATTCCATGATCAGGTCGCTGCATAGATGTTTTCACTGGTAGCTCTCCCTCAAATGTTCGACTTGGAACAATCTTCAATTGATAGGTTTCCCATGGTTTCCCCCAATAAATGGCTTCTCAAAATCCTCAATAAATTAGGTAACCAATCAAGCCAATGGGTTAAACATACCCATCAATTCCAATGGTTTCCCGGTTTCCCCAATAAAAATCATCAATAAATGGCTTATCATAATCCTCAACAAGGGTATTTTTAATGGATCCATTCTGCCACCATCACTCGTTCCATGCCTTCATCAAAGAGATCCTGCCAGGAACATTCTTCTCGCGACGGCGTTCTACGTGGCTTTCCAATGTATGGATAGATGCTATGTCTCTTGTCCAACATTATGGATAATATACACCGAATACAAATGAGCTTCAGCTATAGTTAGAATTTCAGATGGAACATCTAACTATTTATGGAACATTATAAAAACTTAATGGTTCTAAACACTAAACGCAGGGATGGCGGAATGATCCCTAGTTTAAATTAGCACTAGATAGGCTCAGGGGACCAAATGCTCTCACCCTGCCTCCATATCATCAGCACCAGAAGCTCCTTGGTGGACACTTGCGAAGTGAATGCCTGCCACGAGGATCAAAATCAGAGGAAAGCCTTAGAAAAAACAAAAAACACAAACAAGTTGTACACGGTACATGTCTCACAGATCCTAAAGTCATAATCCAGTAAGAGCCACCACCAACAGCGGTAGTAAACTCCAAACTCGCATCGCACCTCTTCGATTGAAAGCTTTCAGAAGCAAATGCAAGTCATCCAAATCCATAGAGAAGGCACGTTCCCGCAGCATGGCTTCATCATTCAGTACCTGATAAACCCCAGCGGCCCTGCAATGTCATGAATCATGCTCATGAATTCATGAAAATGTTCATGAATGAGGTTCATTCATGTTCAAGGCAGTTGCATCAGCCATACAAAATGCAACAATATCAACATATTTGGATGTCTGAAACGGCCCACGTGGAGCTCTATCTTCATCCGCTTGAGTCCGGATGGCAGCTGATTCTCAGGTGCGCACTGAGCGAACCAGCTCGGGGAAAGGAACAGCTGAAGGCTTGTTTCCTGATAGAGAGCACCACATCCTGCCATCATCGATGGGGGCGACATAGAGCAATTCGGCTCACCAACAACTGGAATATACTGGAGTCATGGATAGAATGCTGGATGGTCTTATGAACCAAATACATCCAAATACTATAGGCTGTAGACGTCAAACTATGCTGCCGCAGAGCTTGTAGTTCTGCTCCAGCATGGATAAAGTTGACCTGCCATCGCAGACATTTCTGGTGGCAGGTTATGGAATCAGAAGCAATGGATGTGAGTCAAGTCACTGGAGGCTTGCCCAAAATCCACACATGCTTATTAAATGCCATGTTCCCCAAGTTTGAGAGACTTCAAGTCAGAAACATGAATTGCTGTGGTTATTCGGTTATTCACCAGATTCCAGGATTGCAACATATTGCAACACATGGCTTAATTTGAAAACCAGGGTACGTCTCTATTTAGGTCCATTTCAAAGAGAAATCATTACATGCAGGTGTCCTAAAGATTCCTAAAGTAGGGGTACCCCCAAATCAGCCAGTTGTAGACAATTTTTTCCGCGATGAAACCTGTTGTGACGACTGATCCCAAATTTAAGAAACCATCAAAAAAAAACCCGGAAAAAAGTCACATGCGGAAACATCCAAAATTAATGTGGCCCCCATCGGTCCCCATCGGTTCCCCAACGGGTTACGCCCAGAAACAGTTTCTTCAACGAAGCGCGCAAGGTCTTGCGACGCCGCAAGAAGATCACTCGGATCATGGCATCCCATTCATTGAAATCCACCTACAGGGAGAAACCAGTGGTGAATCCATAGCCCAGTGGAAAAAATCACCATAGAAATCGTGGATTTATCCATGAAAAATGGTGATTTAATAGTGAAATGTCCCATGAATAGCATGGTGATTTTCCATGAAAAAATTATCGGGTTGGTGGTGTAATAACCATGAAAAATGATGGAGTGAAAGTCAATGGGTTTCGGATGACATCCCATATATGACCTATATGAGATGGAAAATAAAAAATGTTTGAAACCACCAATCAGTTATTGTCCAACGACAAGGGGTAAGACTCGGTAAGACCCAGAATATCCCGTGAGCGCAACGTCGTCAAAAGAAAAAGTCGTCAAGAAGTTCATGTTCCCGTCTCAAAAAAAAGACATCGTGAATGAGGCTGTCCCATGGAATCCCCCATTCTAGGATAACCCCATTGGGTGACTTGCAATGGTTCACCTACCAGACGCGTTGTAGGGTGGGTCACTTCAGCCTGGTGCTCTAACCCCGAAATAACTTGGAATCATGAGAGCTCATCCCTCCAGTCAAATGGTATCTCATACATAACTTGACCCATCCCCATTTTTCTGGGAAACTGTTTCTCGACTTCACGAAAACATACTAAAACCATACCTTAAAACCACCGGTACTTTTCCATGTTTTTCATATGGTTCCTTCATGTTCCTTCCAGCACCTCGGGTGCAGGTATTCGAGGTTCCAAACGAATCACCGTGGAGTGGATCTCCTAGTGACAAGAGCCGAAGAACGTGGAGATCTGATGAGGATTCGTTTAAGCTGTGTCTGGAGACAAGTTTTCATGATTTATATGCCAGAAACTGGAGGTGTCTGATATTGGAATTTACTTAATATCTCTTAATAATTCTTAGTATGTAGTATGTATGTTGACCTGTTTTGCCAAATCAGCACCGCTACATACACAAGGACACAGCTCACTTTCTCTTTCGGTTGATCCACTACAGTGCACTTCCCTACACTTCAACCATGAATCCAATCCTAACATCAATGATCTGATCACTAATTCAGTCATCAACATCCACCGGAAATACCCTCTGGTAAACATACAAAGTTTGCTATTGAAAATGGCCCAGTCGAAATAGTGAGTTTTCCCAGCTACATAGCATGGTGATTTTCCAGTTCGCAAACTGTTAGTTTACCAGAGGGTATCAGGCCTCCCAGGAAACCTGCTGATTTCCGCCATGGTTTCCACAACGGCACCATCCCCCAGCCCCCGGCGCCGGCGCAGGGACGAAGGAGCCCGCTTTCACGTCGAAGAGCCGCACCGCCTTGGCGAAGAGCCGCACGTTCAGCGCCAGGCGAGAGAAGCCTGGCGCGGAAGCGGAAGCGGATGGTGAGTTTAGAGTAAATCACCATTTTTAATGAGAAAATCACCATTTGTCATGGGTAAATCAACTATAAATGGCCATGTTCAATAGGAAAATCTACTATAACTATGGGTAAAACACCATTTTTTATGGGTAAATCAACTATTTCTATGACCATCTTTAATAACTATGTTAAATTACCAGAGGGTATGGTATAGTTACCTGGTTGGTGATTGACCTACCCATCTGAAAAATATGAGTCAGCTGGGATGATGACATTCCCAACTGAATGGAAAGTCATAAAATTCCATGGTTCCAAACCACCGACCAGGTTTAGAGTACTTATCCAGTTATCCAGTACCATCCAAGTACCCTCCATCTTTAAGTAGCATTCTAAGTTTCTATGGATCATAAAACTGGGGTCATAAACCAAATTATAACTGGGGGGTTCTTCCTGTAGAAAATGACAGGATTATGACTTTAGGAGCCATCTGGGTGTGTTCGGAAATGGAAGATTTCAAACCCGAAACGAGTTGTGGAACTATGACTACTAGTATGTCTAAAGTTTGAATTGATGTATACAAGAAGAATCGAGGTGTTCCAAAATTGGGCATTTGGGATCTGAGGAATCCAATTTGTGAAATAATTAACCCGATATATATATATATATATATTTACACTCGGGGTCATACAATGGGGAAACTAGGCATGTGTAGAGTAAGAAACACATACCATTCCAAGAATATTTCATCCCAGGCATAGAACAGATATTTGGGTGAAAATGAAGTAATTTGCCCTTAATTTGATGGTTTATCATGATTTTTGTTGATGGTTTAGAGTAATTTATGGTTTATCAAACTTAATCTTATGGGTTATCATGATTTTTTTGTCATTAAGTGCTCTCCCTTTTGTTGGGTATCCCAAGTTCCGGCACGCGGTTTTTAACGGCACCTTTCTCACCCGGATCAGACAGCAAACGCTCTGCAAACTCTCCTTGCTGTGCCCAGCAACTGGGGGTCAGAATTGGGGTCATGTGGCAAAACCCCATAAATATCCATAAATAATGAACAATCAAGTCCATGCGGGAATGTCTTTTAGAAGCCATGTTTGTTAGTGGTTCATATTGGTTTACGGTTTCTCGCATTGCGTTTATGACCAATGGACCTATATAAGTTCACTTAGTCATTTCTAGTACACGTATTTCACCCTCCCAACACGAGGCTTATCTAACAATCTGCCCCATCTACAACCAGATCTGTGGCAGACTGATTGGGTCAGGTTGGATTCGTGGTGTGTGAAACGCCCTTTGTGATACAGCCAATGGATCATCCCCAGGTCATGGCTCAGCGGAGGTCATGGTTTCAATTTTGGCAACGGTCAAAGGCACAACTGACACAAGGTTCGGCTCTCAAGGGGCCAAAAACAATGCCAAACGGCAGCTAGAGTGGTGGTTGACACAAGTAAACGGATAGATTTTGGCTAAATCACCCATATATTAGCTGGTATGGATTATAAAGTAAAATTGCATTAAAATCACGTTTGGTGCAACTAAATATCTTGCCTTGATCTTGTGGACGTGACCAGGTGCTCAACTTGGGTGTCAGCCACAACACGGTCAACCCTTGAATGTTGGGGGAAGCTATGTAAATACCCTATAATCACGTAGAATTCTATATATATATTCTAATGTGCAGCCTCTTTATAGACTATATTTGCTTGTATAGAGGTACATCTACTTATGTAGATAAGTATATCATATTCTTCTACTCGTAATTAATTTGACATATATCAAACAAAGAACTCATATTGTTCAGAGGAAAATCATCGAACTCAATGGGGCCTCTACAACATGCAATGTAATATGTAGCCTCTTAAAATAATATAATGACCTCTCTAGAGTCATGAGGGTACATCTGTTTATCCGAATAGATAATCATATTTACAATAGATATAGAACATTAATTATATCAATATCTATTATTAGATATAGATGATAATATGAAAATCAACTAGTAGATTATATATATATATGTACAAATATATATATATATGTATGTATATATACACATGTAGATAATATATTAGATACAGACCATTACATTAATATATCATATATGTAATTTATATACTGTACCACAGCCCATCAATCCTCCCCGGTAGCTGAGTGACTTTGGAGCATCAGCACTGCAGAACGCCAGGGCCGTCCCTCCGAAATCCGTCGAAGCAGCCGAAAGATGATGGGCGCGGAGATTTTGTACGGCCTTGGAAAAGCTATGTTTCAAGGGAACATGCTGGGAATACCATGGACAAAGCCGGTGTTTCAATACGGAAAGTCACCGTGATGAAAATGAGGATTCTACCAATTCAACCTTGTTCAAGTAGAATATTGCCATTTTGACGCGTTTTAAACGAGGAAGGCCGGAAAAATGGTGAGATGAGCGAACCAACAACTGGGACTTCACCGATAGAACTTTACCCAACCAATATCCTCTGGGGTCCTTGGGTGTGTCTCATGAGGATGGACCCAAACTTCTGGTCATCAACGTCATCGACACACGGGATGCAATGCGGTGCTAGCTGCTAGTGTAGTTCCGATGTCGGTGTCCTGCAATTCATCTATAAATTTTATAGAGTGGGATTTGGTGTTGGAACCAAAAAAGGATCCTGATATCTTAGAATTGCTTAGAATTGCAAGAATGCTGCTTGAAGTCATGCACCTGAAAGCCACAGTATCCACAGTTCTCCCCACAGATCCAGCTGAGACAGGCACAAATTCGACCTGGCAAAAATGTCCACATGGTCTTGGAAATTTGGATAGCTCAACTTCTTGAAATCTTAGTGTACTCATTCGGATTCCTTAAACAACTTGAAATTGAAATCATGTAACCTGAATCTTATTGGAACTGATTCTTAGGAATCTCAATGGTCTGGCTATTCTGTTTAGGTCCTTAGGTTCTCAATTTTTATGAAAACCCGCTCTATTTGTGTCCAATTCAATGGGTTACAACTCGCAGGACACTCACCACAGTATACAAATGCCAGCATGTGCATATATAATTGTATATATAACATATGTATATATATACATATACACACACATATATATAATATAATATATACATATATACACATATATATATGATATGTATAGCTGGCATGTGTGCTTTGAAATCAAGTAAGTAAGTTGTTCCTCAATGATTTGTGGATGTCAACAGTGGTAGCTTTTTCTTCCTTCGACATCTGAAATTTGGTCACTGTTTCTGCTGGCGATAAACAGCTGGGCCATCTATTTCTGGGACTCTGGGACTCTCAGCCATAGATAACCATAGATAACCATAGTGCTAAACATCTAATGGATTCATGTTGAATAATAGCTGCATATCATGTGCACATCCCAAAAAACACTAGCCATCATGAACGCAACAGGAGTACTGCTGGAACTGGAACTGAAATCCCACCAGAATTCAACATCACGCAACCAGCTGTTCCGCATTGTTCAAGATATTTTTACAACATGTGCTAATATACATCTTAAATTACCCTCTGGTAAACGTTTACATAACTATGGAAAATCACCATGCTATCAATGGGTAAATCCACTATTTCTATGGCCATTTTCAATAGCAAACTGTTAAATTACCAGAGGGTATATCCATGCATTCGTTGAACGAACTAAATACCATCTGGTTATGACTAACAGTTCGCCATGGAAAATCACCATGCTATTAACAGGTCAACCTCTATTTCAATGGGCCATCGAAAAACCATGGCGAACTGTTAGTCATAGCCAGAGGCTATCTTCCCCAATTGAATCCCAACCTCCAATGCCATCAGCGCCAAAACCATCCCCTGGGTCGCCCCAACACGCAAACATCAAAGCGATGCGGCATCTCGACCCGCAGGGCATCTCCGACCCTGGCCTGGAAAAGGCGCTACCAGGCAACTTTTTGGATGAATTAAAAGTGAAAAAACATGGAAAAGATTGGGAATAATAGTCGGTTTGTTTAACATGTTGCATATGATGAATAAAAAAATATACATGAATAACATGGAAACGATCGAACATGTCGGTTAAAACTGCACACAATGTGGTTTCCCCTCGGCATTTTTGTGGTTTTCAAGGGGTAAATACCACAGAATGCTCAGAATGCATGTGCGGCATATTTGGAATCAAACATCTCAGTTCTAGAACTCACGTTTATATTAACTTTTACACATATGGATGTTTCCTAGGTCTTGGGGTTACCCCACATCATCCTTAAGCAAAAAACCACAACATGGCAACCTATGGTGACGACTGGGGATCATGACTTCACCGGCAGGGCTTGGCACCTCCATGTTTTGGAAGCCCGCACTTTGTGCTCGGCTTTTTGTTTCCTCCACCATCCGACTCTCCAGGTCGACAGTATAGACCTGTGACTGTGAACAACTTCATGGTGAGTCGTGTCTAATGGGGAGTCGAATGGGTTTTTTCATGGGGGTAAAACAATGCCATAAACCACCTTCTCAATTAGGGGTATAATGTTTGCCTCTGATTAGAAGCCTGGTACCCTATTGTGAGAAATTTCTTGCTCCTAATTCAGTAACATGCTAATTGTTGGGGGGGAGCCTCTATTGTGAGAAATTTTTTCCAGATTTATTTTTTTTCATGTTTTTTTCCAAATGCTTTTTGTTTGAAATTAATTAATTACTTTATTTACTAATTTCTTTTTATTTTTAGTTTATCTATTTTTATTTTATTTTTTATTTTTACTTTTTACTTTTTCATTTTTATTTTAATTGTATTTACTATTGTTTCATGTTTTTCATTATTTCCTTGTTTAATTATTTTTTTTATTGCTTTATTATTCATTAAGAAATTAATTACCCTATGAGTGGCTCAGTTACTCAATAATATAATTGTCTGGATGGTACTCTATTGTGAGCACCAACTTTTGGGGGTGAAAAAAAACAGCAAACCCCTTTCTCCACCTTTCTTTGGGTAAAGCTGGTGCCTTTACTTTAGAAAGCTATATTTGTGTTAAAACTTTAAAATGCAAGGATTTCCAAATAATTAGATACCTGAAAAAACCATAATTGGCTCAGTTACTCAATAATATAATTGTTTGGATGGTACTCTATTGTGAGCACCAACTTGTGGGAGTGAAAAAAAACAAAACCCTTTCTCCACCTTTCTTTGAGTAAATCTGGTGCCTTTACTTCAGAAAGCTATATTTGTGTTAAAGCTTTAAAATGCAAGGTTTTCCAAATAATTAGATGCCTTATTAAACCCTTATTAAAAAACAGCACCCAGACAATTTTTCAAGGGGATACCTCATGATTGGCTCAGTTACTCAATAATATAATTGTTTGGATGGTACTCTATTGTGAGCACCAACTTTTGGGAGTGAAAAAAAACCTTTCTCCACCTTTCTTTGGGTAAAGCTGGTCCTTTTACTTTAGAAAGCCATATTTATGCTAAAGCTTTAAAATGCAAGGTTTTCCAAATAATTAGATGCCTTATTAAACCCTTATTAAAAAACAGCACTCAGACAATTTTTCAAGGGGTACCTCATGAGTGGCTCAGTTACTCAATAATATAATTGTTTGGATGGTACTCTATTGTGAGCACCAACTTTTGGGGGTGAAAAAAAACAGCAAACCCCTTTCTCCACCTTTCTTTGGGTAAAGCTGGTGCCTTTACTTTAGAAAGCTATATTTGTGTTAAAACTTTAAAATGCAAGGATTTCCAAATAATTAGATACCTGAAAAAACCATAATTGGCTCAGTTACTCAATAATATAATTGTTTGGATGGTACTCTATTGTGAGCACCAACTTGTGGGAGTGAAAAAAAAAACAAAACCCTTTCTCCACCTTTCTTTGAGTAAATCTGGTGCCTTTACTTCAGAAAGCTATATTTGTGTTAAAGCTTTAAAATGCAAGGTTTTCCAAATAATTAGATGCCTTATTAAACCCTTATTAAAAAACAGCACCCAGACAATTTTTCAAGGGTATACCTCATGATTGGCTCAGTTACTCAATAATATAATTGTTTGGATGGTACTCTATTGTGAGCACCAACTTTTGGGAGTGAAAAAAAAAACCTTTCTCCACCTTTCTTTGGGTAAAGCTGGTCCTTTTACTTTAGAAAGCCATATTTATGCTAAAGCTTTAAAATGCAAGGTTTTCCAAATAATTAGATGCCTTATTAAACCCTTATTAAAAAACAGCACCCAGACAATTTTTCAAGGGGGTACCTCATGAGTGGCTCAGTTACTCAATAATATAATTGTTTGGATGGTACTCTATTGTGAGCACCAACTTTTGGGAGTGAAAAAAAAAGCAAAACCCTTTCTCCACCTTTCTTTGGGTAAAGCTGGTCCTTTCACTTTAGAAAGCCATATTTATGCTAAAGCTTTAAAATGCAAGGTTTTCCAAATAATTAGATGCCTTATTAAACCCTTATTAAAAAACAGCACTCAGACAATTTTTCAAGGGGATACCTCATGATTGGCTCAGTTACTCAATAATATAATTGTTTGGATGGTACTCTATTGTGAGCACCAACTTTTGGGAGTGAAAAAAAAGCAAAACCCTTTCTCCACCTTTCTTTGGGTAAAGCTGGTCCTTTCACTTTAGAAAGCCATAGTTGTGTTAAAATTTTAAAATGCAAGGTTTCCCAAATAATCAGATGCCTTATTAAACCCTTATTAAAAAACAGCACTCAGACAATTTTTCAAGGGGATACCGGGGATACCTCATGATTGGCTCAGTTACTCAATAATATAATTGTTTGGATGGTACTCTATTGTGAGCACCAACTTTTGGGAGTGAAAAAAATAAAAATAAATTAAAAGTAAAAGTGAAAACAATTGAAAGTAAATTGAAAGTGAATTAAAAGTAAATTGAAATCAATTGAGAGTAAATTGAAATCAATTGAAAGTAAATTGAAATCAATTGAAAGTAAATTGAAATCAATTGAAAGTAAATTAAAAGTAAATTGAAATCAATTGAAAGTAAATTGAAATCAATTGAAAGTAAATTAAAAGTAAATTGAAATCAATTGAAAGTAAATTGAAATCAATTGAAAGTAAATTAAAAGTAAATTGAAATCAATTGAAAGTAAATTGAAAAATTGAAATCAATTGAAAGTAAATTGAAATCAATTGAAAGTAAATTAAAAGTAAATTGAAATCAATTGAAAGTAAATTGAAATCAATTGAAAGTAAATTAAAAGTAAATTGAAATCAATTGAAAGTAAATTAAAAGTAAATTGAAATCAATTGAAAGTAAATTGAAATCAATTGAAAGTAAATTAAAAGTAAATTGAAATCAATTGAAAGTAAATTGAAAGCAATTGAAATCAATTGAAAGTAAATTGAAATCAATTGAAAGTAAAATAAAAGTAAATTGAAATCAATTGAAAGTAAATTGAAATCAATTGAAAGTAAATTAAAAGTAAATTGAAATCAATTGAAAGTAAATTGAAATCAATTGAAAGTAAATTGAAATCAATTGAAATCAATTGAAAGTAAATTGAAATCAATTGAAAGTAAATTAAAAGTAAATTGAAATCAATTGAAAATAAATTGAAATCAATTGAAAGTAAATTGAAATCCTTTCTTAAGTTGATTGACCAAAAAAATGTTGAGGGGGGGCAAAAAAAAGTGCGAGTTATAGAGTATCCTCAAATTGTTTGGGGGGGGGGGGCCCTCACACTAATCAGAGGCACACATTAGTAGGGGTAAAACACAATGGTAGATCACCCATTTGGGAATGGTTTATACCACCTATTTCTGGTGATGACTGGGGGATGGGGATTGCTTCACCCACATTCAGGGGGGTTGTAACTAGCAAGAAAACACCATTTACCCTCTGCTAAACTAACATAGCTATTGAAAATGGCCATTTATAGTGAGTGTTTCCATTAAAAATTGTGATTTTCCATAGTTATGTTAGTTTACCCGAGGGTAACCAACATGATCAGATTATCATCAACATCACAATGACACTAAGAAGAATCATCGTCATTCTCATCAACAGCTTCAAAATCATTGTCGACCCTCTGGTTCGAAAAACAAACTATCCGCATTAGCTGTCTGGGTTCAGACTGGTGAAATACCAGAATTTTGAGTTCGGACTCACGGGCTAGTGAACTGATAAGAATCTACATCAAACATCATCAAACAATAAATGTTACAGTCCCAATTCATCCCAACTGTAGACAGTGATGTTCAAGTCAATACCCCTGGGGACAGATGATGATATGGCAATACCAAAAAAGGAACATGGGAATACCCTCTGGTAAACATACAAAAAACTACTGAAAATGGCCATAGAAATAGTTGATTTACCCACCAAAAATGGTGATTTTCAACAGCTATGTTAGTTTACCACAAAGTACATTCCAAGATATTTCAAGCTTTCGCAAAGTTTTCGCGGAGCAGGTCTGACTTTTGCCCCCTCTGTCGCGAAGAGTCTCCGGTCTTTCATGCTGCTCATTAAGCCATACTGTAGTTCAAAAAGAGTTGCCGCGAAGAAATTGATGGTTTCACGTCCCAAAAATGACCATCATGATGTTTTTTTTTTCGCAGAATGTGTCGAAGTGGGGATACCCCAAATCCAGAGGTTCCTAACCTACCCATTAAAACTTAAATTCCAATAACAAGTTTTGATACTTTGGGGTCATAACCATTTGTGGGATGTCATGAACAGGGGGTACCACTTTGAATAGTGATCTATCATGATTTACAGTACCACTATTCTGGGGATAACTCCTTAACTATATATATATAGAAGATTTTAAATAGATTGTACAAGACTCAGGGTTTATCCAGGGTTGACTCTGCCTTCCGGGCACGGGGCAGGAGTTCCATCGTGACTTCGCCGGTACCGCAGCCCACCTGGTCGGTGAAAATCCTGGGGAAAACGAATCATCGGACTGCCAGCTTAAGGTACCATCTGGTTATGACTAAGAGTTTGCCATGGAAAGATCCACCATTTGTAATAGGTAAACCATCTATAAATGGGTCATTTTCCATGGCTATGTTAAATAACCAGAGGGTAATTAAGGTGACATAATATGTGTTTCACTTTTTCGGAGTCACATGAAGTTACCATATTATTTGGAGAAACAACGTAGAGCTATAGTGCGAGGCTTCAGCAGCCAACGGTAGCGTCGCAGAGGCCGAGATCGCTGTCCCTTGATTCCTATATAGATGCTGTATAGAGGATTATCCCTATGGTAAACTAACATAGCTATGGAAAATCAACATTTTTATAGGTAAAATCCACTATTTCTATGGCCATTTTCAATAGCAAACCGTTAAATTACCAGAGGATTATCCATCCACATGGCCATTCAGTGGACAACTACAGCAAAGATTTGGGACAGAGATCCTAGCAGGTAATCAACAGTTCGATTCGGACAAACTGCAACCCGAAAACGCTGATTTGCCAGGGTGAGAACATCGTTTCCCAAATCAAGGTGGACAAAGGTTTCCCAAAATCCTCAGTCGTCACCATGGCTTTCAATCCTAAAATACTATAAAATAGTCGAATGACTTGCATGATTTGGGGTACCAAAATAGGAGAACCTCCATGTATGGATATAGCATGATATAGCATGATATAGCCAGACATACCAACCCTTTGGCCCTCCAGAATTGGGCTGTCGACCTCATAGACTGCATCAGAACTTCGGATGTCAGCAGCTTCCACGAACCTGTGGATGACACCTCAATTGGTCGTGACCCGGGAGCCTTTGGGAGCCAGAACTGGCCTTCTGGCCGCCACTGGGAAGGGACAAATCCCAGAAGGCTTTGGATCAACATTCCACAAACAACCATGGTATCATGTGGTATCATGTAGTATCATGGTCCAACGGAATGCACTTTATACGGTTTATAAGTGACCATTCCAGACTGCATCTTTGTTGCCCTCGGTTCCACGCATGTTGTCACCAGAAATCCCTCCAAATCATGATCTCAACATCCAAAAAGCAAAACAGAACAACTCGGAAATTCAAACAATTTAAAGGATCCAAGCTCAAATACTCAAATCCAAATCACTGCTCCAAGAAGAAATCAAATAGTTCAAACAAGTCAAAACAAATGCAGACAAAAAAGAAAACTAAATCCAAATGCTCCAAATCATCCAATCCCACTCCAAATCTCATCCCGCCTTTATTGTGCAGAAGATGTTGCCCGCGTGCCCGCGACAGTGGCAATCCACTGGCTGGATGCAACTGGCAAAAACCCACGCGGCCATATGGACCCAGGGCCACAATGGGGATGGCTTCTGAATGGTTCAAAATAACAGTCATAGCAAATCTCAACCATTTCAAGGGTGACAACCATTGAAATATGGTGATTATTCATATTGAAGTAACATGAAAATGGGTGAAACATGGTGAATCTCCAGCAAGAAAATAGACCAACGGAACTGCCGATGGAAGGATGCATCAAGATAGACCAAAATAGATCAAAATGTCGAAATTGTCAAGGAGCTTGTCAAAGGACCAGTGTGTAGCCAGGTGCGGTATCTCAACAAACAAGCCTCTCAGAGCAGAAAGGCTCTGTCACTTCATCATGTGCCGTTGCCAAAGGATATCAAATTGCGTTGTACTTGGTGCAGCTATGGATTTTCAACAGTTTCCGTGTGATGGTGCTGGCCATCAAAGATGCGGGCCCCTGATGGCCACCATTGTTTTAGGCAGTTTTAGGGCACTCCCAAATCCACTAGTTCATCATCATTCTCGTCATTACTTTGCACTTTTTGGGATATACCCCAAGATGAGATACGCCCAAATATCATATCAAGAGCTTATACCACCAGATCTACATATACTGTTGTTTCATGGGATATCCCGAATTCAATACCATCTGGGTAAGTTATAATGTTTAACACTAACCTAAAATAAGGCCAGCCATAGGGATGATTTCCCTTCCCCATGACTCCAGGCTTCGGTCACTGCGAGGTCACTTAGATCACTAACCCCGACACCTTCGGTGCGCGTGGAGTGGGTTTGCGAAGTGGCAGCAGCCTGACCGTGTTTGACGAAGGTCGATATGATTGATGATTGGATGCACCTGATTTTCAAGTTTTGCCACCATTTTTTTCCCAAAGGAAATTCATGAAATCATTGTGTCCCAAGCATCGCAAAAACTGCCTGGAAGCTCTTAGGCAACTGCGTGACATATGTGTTACGGCGTTCAGTGGTCAGTGGTCAACAAAAACTCACCAAGATGGTGAGCCATTTTGCCCAGCTGAAAATTTCTCAGTTTTCTAGTTGATGTTCGCGTTGTTGTGGCCTGTCTACTTATTTTTGAGGTAAAATTGGGGAAGAAGGCCATGCCATATCCGTTTTTTAAATGTGATGATGCATCTCCAAATAGATGAGACAGAACACAACCATGTTTACAATCATGGGTAGTGACCCTGGCGTTGAAGTCGCATTCCGTGGATTTGATCATCAAACGGATTATGATAATCCCGGTCCCCAATACACAGGTAATATATTGATTGTTGGTATAATCCCCCAACTAATCATCAACCAACCAGGGCTTTAAACACTGCTCATCCTGTATCAAGCTCTCTCTCTCTCTCTCTCTCGTTCTCTGCTTGCCAGGTGTTTGATTTCATCGACCATTGGCTGGGTGATTTTTGAGCCATCCAAAACATGATTGAAGACAATCAAGATATGACCACCTTGCCATTTACACCATGTCACTGTCAAACTAAAAAGTGGATACCCACCCCAACCATTCTATAGTCTATCGAATTTCGGCAGCGAAACAAAGTGTGGGTCCCATTTTCTGGACATGTCACATCATTGCGTTGTAACATGCTGTAACAAAAACTGTCACTTTAGCAGGACATCAACCCTTGAGGGGTTTCTCTTTGCTGGTCGCAACGGGGTAACACGCAAAGCACCTTTGGCCTTGTGACGTGCCCATGACAGGGTCGTCATGGGCCCAACAGCTTCCAGGTTGATCCCACATGGATGGGGTACTCGGAAAGTCCATCTACAAGACTGGTATATAACATTATGCAACTCGTGCTAAACACTGTAAAAAAAACAACATCATAAACATGATAATGCTAATTTCATACTATATGACTGTGATAAACATTGTATAACATTATGTAACTGGTGTGTGTATATATACATATATAATCATTATAGATTGAGGTTCTTAATGTTAGACACCTTTGAGATCAGCTCCTGGATCCAGCGTCATCTCCACAATTTCACCAAACCGTCACGGCCAGCTGTGACCAGAATATCCTGGCCATGCGATCAAGCTTTTTTAACACCAGCAACCAATAAAAAATCATGACCCTATGACATATTTATGACATATCCGCCGACCCCTGCCTAGCCTTGGCCTAGGCGGGGCGGCGCCTGGGATCACCGCAGGTGTGCAACACAGCTAACCACTCTTACAATTCCATCCGTTGCAAGGCAGCAAACAAGGCCCCAGCTTCGGGGGCAAAGCCGGGCCCAAGGATTCTACCAAGAACCTATCTGTTGCGGGCCTTGAAGCGTTCCTGTGGGGGCAAGGCCGGGCCGCTGTTGGGCACTTTTCGTTCCACTGGGTGCAAGGCTGGGCCCAAGGAATCTCTTATGGGATGTTATGGGTGTTCCACTGGGCTGCTTCGGGTCTTGAGACTGGCATTGGGCACTTTTCGTAGCTCTCCCCAAGCTATTACTTCCCACGGTTTCCTATCCGTCCACGATGTCCACGCTTCCGTCTCGCTCCCTCCCAACGGAACTCCCCCTTTTATAAGCTATTTCCAACGGTTTCCTGTCCGTCCACGATGTCCACGCTTCCGTCTCGCTCCCTCCCAACGGAGCTCTTCCCACGTGACAGAATGGCAAGCAAATGTCCACATTCAGAAATATCCCGGTACATCACGCAGCTGCATTCATAGACGCCTTCTCGAATTTTCTCCACCACTGCAGGAAGCAGCTGATTTAGCGGCAATGCTTGGTGTCAAACGTTTCCCAGAAGTCCGTGAAAATTCTCGCGGACTTCTGGGAAACGTTTGACACCAAGCATTGCCACTAGATCAATTGTATCCTGTAGCCCGCAGCGAGAGCCACTTTGAGCGGCCCAAAAGGTCTTCATCATCACCCAGCAATGAGGCTCCACGAAAACGTGGGCACACGAGTGCTTGTTAGTGTGCTGCCAGAATCTGCGCACACGACAGAAACCATTTTTGCGTCCCTGCAATTTTGGTGATCCTCCGTCCTGCAGATCAGTGCTGAAATCCTGCGGCTTTAGTTGGCAATGCTGGAATTTCTGGTCTGGCCCGAGAAAATGCCCTGGGCGCATGGCACGCGAAATCGAGCCTCCAACGCTCGGAGAAATTCCGTTTCTGAGCGAGCCTTTCTTCGCTTGGTGGCTGTCTCCGTGGCCTTCATCGCAAGCTCCGCAGCTTAAGAGTGCCCTGGCCTGGCAGAACTGGTTCGTCCGCACCAGTACCTTGGAATGCGGTGGACCTCATCGGACTGACGAAGCTGTTCTGCATGACATGGCAAGGAAACCCACACCACTGAGACCAGTGCACCATGCGGCAGGATGGCGGTCAGGCGGCACCAGGGCGTTAGCCCATTTATTTATGACATATCTCTGACATGTGATGATGACATGTGATGATATATCATGATATATCCTTCCCGAATCCTTCCCGAATTGGCTGGTTGTAGCAAAAAAAACATGCTTCTGGGTTTTGACTTTTTGACCACAATCATCAAAAACTTGACCCACAGTGCTTCGGATCCCTCACCAATCATCAACTTCCCGGTCGAAGCCATTAAGGCCATTAAGGTAAAGCAGATCATATCAGTTGGGACAAGCTATGTCATAGTCCACCAACCCCAAAAGTTCGGCCAGAAAATGGGATGGTTTTAAACAAAATCTCATCGTTCCAGTGACGCCGTGACATGAAGTATCGTTCCAGTGACGTCGTGACATGAAGTCGTGATGAAATGTATTGAGATCAGTGGATCATTGGCAAACAAGCCAGCTTGTCGTGCTGAAGTGAGATACTGCACCTGGCTGAAGAATGGTTGTCTGTTGTCTTGTCATCGCATGCTAAAGATGGGATCCAGCATATCCATTTCTTGGGGAAAATGGGGATGTGTTAAAACCTGCCCATTATTTGCTGGCTATGAATCACATGTAAATTATACCAGCTATTTTGGGGTGACCAGAAGAGTACCGTTTTGACCCAAAGTGAACATGGCCATCGCACACACAATAGAGCTCCATGTTGAATGACGCAAGTGATTCCAGATCTGCTCACCTTGTTCTGCATCTGAATCTGAGACTAACGGGAGAAATTGATCCACCAGCCGCATTCACTATGAATCGGAATCCCAAATATTGCCACACAGGATTCGAAATGCTTCGAATATTGCAAAAAATCCTCCAAAGATCGGTCGAGTTCGGGAAAGCCATACTTGGCTAATCAAACATACCCGACTTTCACTTGGTTTTTGACTAAGTTTTTCAGGAATTCCAGCCCCTTTCAGCTTCAGCAGTTTCAGCTCCCCACAGATCCAGAATGGCATCGCGGTGGTTGGGACTGGGCTTGTTGGACGGCTCCTCACAAAATGTTGCGCTGACTTTGGGCTGAAACTCGACATTCTCTCCAATCCATGATATTTGTTTTTCCCTGCTACCAATAATGTCCTTCTGGTAAAAATAGAGGGGCCGGTTTGGTATACCATCTATCATCAAACAAACCTCTTGTTAAAGGGATAAACAAGCCCCTCTATCAATCAACCAACCAATGGGAAAAGGACATCTACTGCTACCCTGGTCTTTTGAAAGATGTTGCCATTTCCAAACGGGTTTGGGATGTTTGTGTCCAGCCACCCAGTATAGGACGCATAGGACGGACCCAGTCTGTATCTGCAGTACCCACGTTTTTGGGGATTTCTCGTAGCGAATTTACAACTTTCATTCCTGAAATCCGACGATAAACTTACCACATGTGTCAACGGACCTGGCCTCATCCTTCACTTCAGCCACTGGGGAGGTCTCCTGGTGGCAATGTTTAACACCAAAAAGTCAATATTGGCGGAAGAAAACATGGGGATTTACTGTAAGCAGCAACTGTAGGGGTTGAAGCAACAAAAATTGCCGGAGTTCATCACCAAGCATGGGAATTGTTTGATCAGCAAAATGGGTGGAAGAGGCTCAAATGAGTGAAGTAGACCAAGATATGGAATGGATCTTGAACTGTACCGACATGTTTGGGCCTCAATGCCATCCAGCGGTTGTGTGATTTTAGCGAGCTTTGGGTAGCTGCCGTGTATCCCGGCTCGAATATTTTCTCATGACATGTGCCGTGTTACAGCAACATACAGCAGCTATCTCTTCAAAAAAAACATGGAAGGCTCATCCAGATATATCCAAGACAAATTGCTGTAATTGTCAAACCACCTGACAGACATCTTCCAACGAGCCCTGGCGCCCTGGCGTTTCTTTTTTTTCGCAGGTCAACTTCTCACGTCTTTGGTGGTCGTGACAATCGGCCACGCAGGCCACGTTTTGCCGCTGGAGGATTTTGCGCCTGGAGAAAACACAGCTGCCCTTTTTGTGGCACTAGCACTTTCAGGGTCCCAAAGTCCCAATGGCTGGCACTGGGTGGTACAAGGTGGTAACCCTGGTGTTGTTCAACTTTTAGGACCGCACTGCGAAGATGTCGGACGTTGGTGTGAACACAAAAAAAACTTTTTCGCGGACACTCCCCCAATGTTCCTGAAACATCATGTTCCATCAATGCGGTAAGATCCAACTTGTGCAAACAAAAATGTGGATACCATAGATACATATACCAGTAGTACCGCACAAGGCGGTGGCGGAAGTTTCAAAAATAGGAAACCTATAGGAGAGCTTGGTTGTTGTGAATCAGGGATGGCAGAGCGAATCCACTGATGGACCGAAAGGTGCTTGAGATCTCCTCTCTTTCTCTCCCTTTCTCTGACTATCTACCTACCTACCTACTGTATCTATTTTCTATGTATCTATCTATCTATCTATCGATCTTTCTAGTGTAATGTAATGTAGTGTAGCGTAATTTAGTGTAGCGGTGTGTAGTGGAGTGTAGTGGAGTGTAGTGGAGTGTAGTTGTGTAGTTCTGTAGTTGTAGTTGTAGTGTTGTGGAGTGTAGTGTAGTGTACTGTACTGTAGTGTAGTGGAGTGTATAGTGTAGTGTAATGACCCGAAGCGAAGCGAAGCGACATCTGAACCTCCAAAAGTGGTCCGAACCCCTAGTGTTTTGTACATTTTGACTTGGAAATGTGCTTCGCGCCACAACGGCGTGCACTTTTTCGAGATCTGAACTTCCAAAAGTGGCGCGAACATGTGGTGTTTTGTACATTTCGACTTCGAAATGTGCTTCGCGCCACAACGGCGTGCACTTTTTCAACATCTCAACTGCCAAAAGTGGTCCGACCATGGTGTGTTTTGTACATTTTGACTTGGAAATGTGCTTCGCGCGACAACAGCGTGCACTTTTTCGAGATCTCAACTTCCAAAAGTGGTCCGGCAATGGTGTGTTTTGTACATTTTGACTTCGAAATGTGCTTCGCGCCACAATGTGCATTTTTTCAACATCTCAACTGCCAAAAGTGGTTGGTGTGTTTTGTACATTTTGACTTGGAAATGTGCTTCGCGCCACAAGGGCGTGCAACTTTTCATCTCTCATCTCCCCAGATGTCTCCGCACCCGCCGCTTTAGCGAGCCTACTTTTCAACCCTCCGGAGCCA